CGAGAAGCTCCGAAATCGGTATGACTTAATCTGTCAAAATTTTTTAAGATGAAATTATATTTTCAACACAGATAATCGATAAGATAGGTAAAGATTAATGTAATTATAAATATAAAGCAATAATACCGGGCATATCGGTAACAACACGAGTCAAGATCTGGATGCAAGTAGCAGTAGATGCAGTTATAAGCTCATAAGTGAAGAGAAGAGTGGCTTCATCAAATTCAGATATATTATTCCCATTCCGTTCGAATTCAACTGATCGGCTGCTAGTCTCTGATTCAGGTCCTCCAGAGGTTATCAAATCTTGCTCTTTACCGTCAATTCCATTCTCGCGAACATGAAGCTAAAAATAAATCAAAAAGTATTTTCGGCGTTAAACAAGGAAAGTTACTAATACTAAAGAGTTAAATTAATTCCTATTACAATCAAAATGCCTTTAAACTATCGTGGTATGCAAGAGGTGGAGGAAATAAGTTGGGAATGGCACACAGAGAAGTCAAAGGTTTGAGGAATCAGATGTTGACGTATCTTTAATTGCATTTGAAAATGAGATTTGAAAGGGTTGGTAAATTGGCCTCACAGGATTTGTAGCTGCTGGATTGTGTAAGGAAGACCTCGGTTCATCGTCATGTAAAACTCATGAATACCTGCTTACTTTTCGTCTGTCATGTGACAGAAATCGTCGGACCCAAAAACTATCATTTAAGGAAGACTTCGAATAAGCTCTAAGCTATTGATCCTTTTGTGTTTTGGTAATTTTCCCAGTAATTGACGATGTCTGTCACATAACAAAATAAAATTTAGCATAGAGTAATCTAATTCGCATTAAGACGAGTCGAACTCTTATTGACACAATCTAGCAATTACAGCTCCAAATCAATTCGCCATCGGCTTCTTGTGAAGCCAGTTTACGAATCCCCTAGACTCACCTTTCCAAGCGAAATGGCAGGTAAACAAACATCAATCCTCATATTCATTCTGACTAAAATAGATAGTCTGTATGCTTTTACATGTTTTAAATATATTTACTAAGTCAAATGCAACAATAGTGGCAACCATAGGCTCCTTTACCGATAAAATATATGCCAAAACATTTGTAAACTAGGAATAACTGATTCAACAAGAGCTCAACAAAAAAGGTTAGTAGCATCTTACTGTGTGA